GTATTCTTGAACAGTTACACACAAGTTGGCATTCCACTGATGGAATGTTGACCTAAAATTAAGAGCCTTTGGGTGTTCTTTGGGTATTCTGTTCACTGCATTGCAGCATGTAAAATAATTTTTTAAAAGAGAAAAGACAGTTTGAGCATGAAATACTGTAAGATTTCATTTTAGTGATGATGAATGTGAAACATGGCATAAATAAACAGTTCTATATATGCTTTGACTCTGTGTAAATAGACAGTACAATCACTTGATTACTAGTATATATACATATGTATTCATATGTATTGGTAAATGTGCAGAATTGCAGATTTATTTAATTTAGAATGGGTGACATCCAAGATGAAAATATACCTAAACTTTCAATGTGATATCCATGTAGGCTTTATATTACAAAAGCTTTTCTAGATACTTACAAAGCCATCTGTTGGTTTATTGTTTCAATAGCTTGGTCAAGTAGTTGTCATAGCAACCTAGATTTAATCAATATCTCCACCATGTCTGATCTGTGGTTGGTTTGATGGAGGGTAATAATGTCAGTTACTTTTGTTACACTTAAAGGGGAATAGGCATTAAGAACTGGGTGAATTTTGCCCAAATTGTAGGCAACTTTTAACAATTAAAAATTACTGATTCTGGTCTCCCCATCTTCCTCACTATTGACTGTTTAACATGTTTGCAGATCTGTATTACTTTGCTCTTGCAAGATTGTAAAGCAGCTTCTCCCCTTATATTTGAGATTTGCTCTTTGTTTGAACAAGTTGAATACAAAAGGAAATAAAGATTTCTCAGGTAATGCAGAAGGCTGTGTTATCATCTTTGAGTGCCATTTCAAAGTTTATATTTTTCAAAGTAGTATGAACATTTGCAGTCCATAAGAATAGAATGTCTGTGACCAAGACTGGACTTTTATTGCCTTAGAAGGATTTTTTGTTTGATAGTGTTTTTTCTTGTTACAATTACGAATTGGTAGGGTAATGTTTTAACTACACCTACGAAGGTTTCCTGTTGTTAATTAGAAATACAGGTATATAAGTAGAAGCACTGTTTAGTTGGAAGTCTAAACCTGTATGCCTGTCTCAATGACGTCTGAGGATCGGATGACAGTCGAACTCGATTATAATATTGAGCGCTTTAGGTAAGAGAATTGTATTTCTTCAGATGGTAGACTTACAAGATAAGAAAGCTTGATTGTTGATGAAAATAATTCCTTTTAATTTTTTTTTAATTGTACAATGAGTAACTCGTATATAATTGTGTACAATTGAAATCAAGTTATAGTTATTTTATAGAATGTGTAATAAAAAAGGACTAGAAAAGGTGTTCTGTATGTAAATGTGAGTTTTTATGTCTCCTAAAATTTGAAATTTTTTGCACTGATACTAATTATTTTCACATGGAGCTAGTTTATTCAAATACATTCTGATTTCTACATCCAAGGATTAATTGGTATTGTACACAGATAATTTTGAAAGTTTTATGTTGTTTCTACCAATAGAAGATCATGTATTTATTTTTGAAATAGAATGTGAAATGGTGACATCATCATCTTAACTGTCAATAAGATTTGAATGTGAGCAGGGCTAATGGTTATTTTACATCTTTTCACTGATTGTTTTTCAATCCTCCATATGCATTGTTAATGCAATCATACATAATATGTATATTTTAATATATTTACTTCATTATTATTATCATCTTTATTCTTANCAGCATGTAAAATAATTTTTTAAAAGAGAAAAGACAGTTTGAGCATGAAATACTGTAAGATTTCATTTTAGTGATGATGAATGTGAAACATGGCATAAATAAACAGTTCTATATATGCTTTGACTCTGTGTAAATAGACAGTACAATTACTTGATTACTAGCATATATACATATGTATTCATATGTATTGGTAAATGTGCAGAATTGCAGATTTATTTAATTTAGAATGGGTGACATCCAAGATGAAAATATACCTAAACTTTCAATGTGATATCCATGTAGGCTTTATATTACAAAAGCTTTTCTAGATACTTGCAAAGCCATCTGTTGGTTTATTGTTTCAATAGCTTGGTCAAGTAGTTGTCATAGCAACCTAGATTTAATCAATATCTCCACCATGTCTGATCTGTGGTTGGTTTGATGGAGGGTAATAATGTCAGTTACTTTTGTTACACTTAAAGGGGAATAGGCATTAAGAACTGGGTGAATTTTGCCCAAATTGTAGGCAACTTTTAACAATTAAAAATTACTGATTCTGGTCTCCCCATCTTCCTCACTATTGACTGTTTAACATGTTTGCAGATCTGTATTACTTTGCTCTTGCAAGATTGTAAAGCAGCTTCTCCCCTTATATTTGAGATTTGCTCTTTGTTTGAACAAGTTGAATACAAAAGGAAATAAAGATTTCTCAGGTAATGCAGAAGGCTGTGTTATCATCTTTGAGTGCCATTTCAAAGTTTATATTTTTCAAAGTAGTATGAACATTTGCAGTCCATAAGAATAGAATGTCTGTGACCAAGACTGGACTTTTATTGCCTTAGAAGGATTTTTTGTTTGATAGTGTTTTTTCTTGTTACAATTACGAATTGGTAGGGTAATGTTTTAACTACACCTACGAAGGTTTCCTGTTGTTAATTAGAAATACAGGTATATAAGTAGAAGCACTGTTTAGTTGGAAGTCTAAACCTGTATGCCTGTCTCAATGACGTCTGAGGATCGGATGACAGTCGAACTCGATTATAATATTGAGCGCTTTAGGTAAGAGAATTGTATTTCTTCAGATGGTAGACTTACAAGATAAGAAAGCTTGATTGTTGATGAAAATAATTCCTTTTAATTTTTTTTTAATTGTACAATGAGTAACTCGTATATAATTGTGTACAATTGAAATCAAGTTATAGTTATTTTATAGAATGTGTAATAAAAAAGGACTAGAAAAGGTGTTCTGTATGTAAATGTGAGTTTTTATGTCTCCTAAAATTTGAAATTTTTTGCACTGATACTAATTATTTTCACATGGAGCTAGTTTATTCAAATACATTCTGATTTCTACATCCAAGGATTAATTGGTATTGTACACAGATAATTTTGAAAGTTTTATGTTGTTTCTACCAATAGAAGATCATGTATTTATTTTTGAAATAGAATGTGAAATGGTGACATCATCATCTTAACTGTCAATAAGATTTGAATGTGAGCAGGGCTAATGGTTATTTTACATCTTTTCACTGATTGTTTTTCAATCCTCCATATGCATTGTTAATGCAATCATACATAATATGTATATTTTAATATATTTACTTCATTATTATTATCATCTTTATTCTTATTTTATTTTCAGCATTTCTGGATTTAAACATAATATCAGTACTTAAGCACTTAGAAGAAGATCATGTAATGGGATATGTTCATTACTCATTCCCTGGTGTTTCCTTTTCCAGTGAAGGAAGTTATGTTTTCTATGTCCTTGGTTTGCCCTAGGTTGGACTGTGTTCCTGTTAGTGGAAAAGATATCTCACGATAATTCCAATGTAATTTTCATTGATAATAATAATAATATTTATTTGCAATTGTTAATGTTAGCCAGTTGTTCAAAAAGGAAAATTCCAGCTGAATCTTGGGTCACCTAATATTTTTTAAACAATTTGCCTTTCTTTTTTCCTTGGTGGAAAAACCAATTTTCTATTTTCTGTCAAAGTTCTAGGTCCTGTATAATTCACCAGATGCAGTTACTTAATAGCATGCTTAAAAAAGCTGGAATTCATATTATAACTAGACTGACATGCACCATGTCTTTTTACGACAAGGTATAACATTATGCTGCTATATGCAACCATCTTAATATTATGGGTGTCTTATTTCTCACTCAGATTTTTTATTTGATTAACTTTCTGCAGGTGCATTTTATTTCTTGGAAATCAGGTCCTTGAATTATAAGGGACAGGATTGATTTTTAAAAAGTTAGTGAAACTGAATAGATTAATTGATATGTACGTTAAAGAATAAATCAGTGGAATCTTTTTTTTATTACCTTTTAGAAGCAAACATGGAATTTTATAGCTGTGGAAATCATAACAAGAATACCACTTTCACATCTTTAAAAAATCCAAATAAATAAGATTATTTCAAATTCAGTGGCAAACATGCATCGGTAGAAATGACCAAATAAAAATGACTACCAACAATAATATTATGACACCTTTTTTGCAGTTCATGTTCCCCTTAAACGTACAGTGACAAGCATTTCACTCTTCAAATACTATTCTGATGTGCAAATTTTTGACATCTTGAAAAACAATATCAGGCATCTGATATAAGAAACTTGAAGGAACTGCTGAGCATTCATATTTAACTCAGATGTGCCATTGTGAACCTTTTACTTCATGAAGACTTCATTTAAAAATAATTAACTATCTCAATGTACAAAATGGATCAAAGGTGATGTGAACAATGTTTTGCTTTTTTTTTCTTTTTAAGGTATTTTCTTAAGAGGGAAACTTTCATGGAGCTTAAATAATATGCCAGAACATGTTTGTGGGTACAGGAATGTGGCTTGCATTAGCTACAGTTGTCAATATTGGTTAACTTCACCACAAATAACTACCAAATACAAGTCTGGTTGGTTGCAGAGACAGTGAACTACCAAACTGTGGTTTTAAACAAATATGTGTTCATTGGAACGTTCCCTCTGGTCCCATATTGAATAATTTATGTCATTTCACTTGATGGATCATATTGCAATCTAAAAATAGGTGCTGCATCTACTAGTGCACATGCATACAGGCCAGGTTAAGGTAATGCCTCTGAAATGTCGACTGAACCTTTTTTCAAGGACGGAAAGTTTCTCTTATTGGATTTGTATAATTTGATTTTTGTGGTTCTGCTGAAAACAGTCTACAGAGAATTTGATCTTTTGTCATATACCTGATTTTACTGTCCAAGTCACTGGTTAGACCTTTATTCTGTAATCAATAGAATTATAGATAGTTTGTCTTTCCACAGCCAGTGCCGTACTGTAGCCAACATAATGAGAGAGCTGTGCAGTTTACTAGAGTCTGGGAGTCTAGGTTGAAAACTGGCAAGCTGAAATCTGGGACATTGAAATATTCAGCAGGCAGGTTAAAATATCTGCAATGTAGGTCCTGCATAATGGCAGACTGTATGCTAATTTTGCCTTCTGGAAATGATGACTGATACTGATTCACATTGCTGCTGGCCACCAGAGCTACTGCTAGTCAAGCTACACATGTTGATTCCCATATTCAAGAGGATAGTGTGTAAGGAGGGGGACAGCTTAGTGACTGACTATAGGCAGTGGTATAAGTATGATACAACAGACATCGAGTGTGCTACCAAATAGTTATACCAGTTCTGAAAAGGGACAGGTTAACCACAACCCATGGACACCTCTGGCCATACATTATTGACATCAGTGTATCTAGTGCTTTACTAGTTTGTGTTGCAATTCCCATGCAGGTACTGCATACCACCTGAAAGCCTTCAGTGCAGTCAGTACTAAGAAAGGTGACAGTGTGCGTCTGCTGAGGATTTCAGGAACTGGGTCATTTTTATATTTATTTGTATGTGTCTGGAATTGAGATTCTGTCTGGGGACAAGGAATACTGCAGCTAAGATGCGAGATGCTGTGTATTGAAGATATTTCACAAAATTTCTAGTAATGGCATATAACATGAATGGGCCACCATTGAACGGACCTCTGTATAGGACAGATATGTACAAGGAGCCTAATCCTCCCCCACCTCACCCTCCTCCTCAGTCTACATTCCTTGGGAGTGGAGGCAGCATGCTGATGAACAGTGTTCCCAATAACATTATGAACAATGTTCCTAATAATATGATGAACCACCATGCTATGAATTCTGACCCTTTCTATTCGTCCCCAATATCTGCATATTACAGGTAAATCTATGATGCTGGATGCCTTCTTAAATTTAGGAAAGCTGAATGTCTGAAGCCCTGTCACAGCCGTTCAGAGAGTGTGTGTGTGTGTGTGTGTGTGTGTGTGTGTGTGTGTGTGTTCATAATTAAGTGAATGCAGACCTGAAGGTGTGTCAGTGTTTTATTATATTATTGCAGACTCAAACAAACATGCATTTTTTTTTTTTTTGCCAACATCTAAAAATAATTTAGTGGGTATGTAGAGTGATAAAGATATTAAAAATTTTCTATTTGTCTAAAGCAAAAAAAAAACATACTAAATAACAGCTGAGTTCAACACAGACATAGTTTTTGCTGAACTCAGCTGTTTAATTAAGATACATTACTTATGATTCTGTTTAAAAGGAAGCACATGTTTAAGAAGTTGCCTACTTTATTACTAGTATATATTTCTATATTTGTACTTAAAACATAAAAGGTAATTTTCCTTATCCTAACTTGATTTATAAGGCTGGCGTAAAGTGCTGAATATTATTGTTGCATTTTCAAATATTTTTAAAATACCCATCTTCCATTTGATATTTTTTGATGATTTCATCTTAAATTCTCTTGAACCAGTTGAAATTTCAAGGTTTTCAGTTACCATGTCTAATCTGCCACCCGGTCAAAAGTGTGTTTGCTCTGTTTTCATTCAAATGTTACTTGGTGTCAGCTTATTGAACATTAGGCTGTTGTAGGCCCTCAATTCTTGGTATGACATTTAAAGCAACTTTTCAGGTCCTTAACCATAAAGGGCAATCTTCCTGTTGAGGGCCCCCAGCACCTTGTCAGAAACCTTTCGGTGTTTTCTTTGAGCTCTTACAACTGCCTATTTCTGCAAGATGGCACTGCTGTTTGTATTTGTAAAACAAGAAAAGGAGGACAGGGTAGCCTTCTTTTTGTACAAGATCATGGTGTAACGTGAAACAAGAGTGGGTTTGGTATATACGCAGAAGTAGAAAAAAAGATAAAAATGAAATGCAGTTTCATTCAGGCTTGAACAACAAATTCAACTAATATAAAGCTGAAGATATTGAATGGATATTGAAACCAATGGTTACCTGGAAATTTGGAGATTTATGTGAAGAAGCGATGCCTGTTACAGGTTTGTACATGGTGGTATAATTTCTCATTTGAAATTGCAACTTTTCTGTTTTCTAGGAGGCACACACCGTACATGGGCCAGCCAGAGTACAGAATCTATGAACTTAATAAGAGATTACAGATGAGAACAGAGGTGAGCTTTGCTGCAGTTTATTAGTCATGGGTTTCCATAATAAGGTATATATCATTTGCTAAACATGCTAACAAGAGAAATGGGCTTGTTTTCATGCACAGTGACAAAAAATTACCTTTACCTTTTGGGTTTTTGTTCAGATCATCCTCGGGTTCAAAACTTACTAGATCTCCTGCTTGATTTAATCAGTTTCTTGACTTTATGTTGAGTAAACTATATAAAGTCCTCAAACGTTAGCGAGAATTCTTTTAAACTGATTTACCTTGCATGTTGTTTCCAACCTCTGTAGAGTTAAGTTTATGTTAACAACTATATTGATCAGTAAGCTATCACTGTGACAGACAAGTAGAAACCAGAAAAAAGGAAAGATTTTGATTATTTTTATATGAAAATAAAATTTCCATGGTTTTATCATCTTGAGTCCTAGTTAGAACCTCAGTAAACATAAACTTTATTCCTTGACCACTGAATGGTGAAAAAGTGGTAGAATGCCGTCAAGCCTGTGTATTGATTTTTGACTTTGTATTCCTGGGGCCTTCTCAAAATCAAAATTAACCTTATTCCCTTTTTAGTTGGATATGATTTTATGAAAATTTTGATTAAAAACTCGGTCTTTATTTTTAATCAGCACTGAGGTCATGGATGTGGAATTTTAATGAAATTATAAATTTTAGATTCAGTTAAATATTAAAATTTGACAGTTATTTAACAAGTATCTCCTTGAGTAAACCCCTCCAAGATGAGGAACTGTGTTGATGATATTATTCATTCCACTGGTAGCTTTATCCATTAAACTGTTTCACATACAGTATAGGGGTAGAGAAACACAAGTTATGATATTGTGTATTTTTTAAACCTTTTTTTGTTCATGTGCATTATTAGCAGCCTGCTCAAATCATTGTTTTTCAAATAAAGAAACCTGCGAGGCCAATAATTAACCCAACTGATAAACTAGCATGTTTTATATATATATATATATATATATATATATATATATATATATATATATATATATATATATATATATATATATATATATATATATATTGAATGGCGAAAAATGAGAATTTTTCAAGTTGCAAAAGTGTCAAATACAGTCAATCCACAATACATTTGCAACTGGTCTTGTTCAGTTTTCAAGATTGTGTTAAAGGATGAATTGACATGGGACTGATAAACTAGCATGTTTTAAATATGTATCAACTTTCATCGGATTCAGGTCATATCTCTTTTTTTTTTTACTTTTGAATGCCTATTATATGAATGGAATTATGGCTTACTGTCTAGTGCTTTTTGATGCATGACTTTCTTTAAAAACATCATAAAAATGCCTGTGACAAACAATATTGTTTTCAGTTGGCTGAAAATTTAGATGGAACTACATTCTTTTATTTATTTATTGACATTTGGTCATTACATGCAATATAACAATAAAAGATTACAAATAAGGTTGAAGGAGGGAACTGTCTGACCACTTCAATAAACTTCCTACACTAGTATATGTGCATTAACAAATCAAATGAATATGGCAAGGTATCAAGCCAAGAGCCAACTGGAAGGTTTCCAGAGGTAACAAGGCTGCTGAGTAGAGTTAATGCAGATCACCTGTATGGAGGGTGGAGTAGGGTCACCTTTAGAACTTATTTATAACCACCTATACTTATTTTATAGAGGGAGAGATTTTCTTCATAAAAATTTGTTATAATTTTCCCCTGTGAGAACAAGATGGAAATAAATGGTGCTAACATTGTAATGGTTTAGTTGCCAGCATGTGGTATCTAAGACCCCATTCCCACACCTAGATCGATCTAGCAGGATTGACCCATCTCCGAGAATTGCATTCAGCTTAAGCGGCTTAGATGTCTAGCATGCCTACTGAAGCTGCTAAACATCAGTTAATTAGCCCCTAACAGCTTCAGTTGGCATGCCAAACATCTAAGGTGCTTAAGCTGAATGCAATTTGGCGAGAATCCCTTCAGAGATGGGCCGATCCTGCTAGATTAATCTAGGTATGGGAATGGGGTCTAAAATTACTTTGTTATCTGTTTATGCAGTCCTTTTAGTGATATGTTTTATCTGTACATTTAAAAAAATTCCCTAATTTTTTTTTATTATTAAATGTTATTATTTATTTATCTTGTTTGTTTGTTTGTTTGTTTGTTTGAACTATTTAAAAATATGGTTTAAAGGTAGGGCAACTTATGAGTTGAATATAAATTTTCAGTCCTATTCACTGAACTTGGAGAATGATTTGTGCAATATTTATGTATCCTTGTCATCTGTGAAAATAAGTTTCATATCAATTATATTTTGGTATTTCTTTTTTCAGGAAAGTGAAAACTTGTGGTGGGATGCATTTGCTACAGAATTTTTTGAAGATGATGCAACTCTCACATTATCTTTTTGTTTGGAAGATGGACCAAAGAGATACAGTAAGTGTTAAAAGGAAATACTGATTACTTCAAAACTCTATAATTTGCAGTCTCGTTGTTTTTGATCTAAAGAAGCTTTTTTTTAAAGTAAAACATGGGGGTATTTACTTTCAGCATTGGATTTAGAGCCAATTAAATTATGTGTATTACCAGAAGATATAGAATATAATGCCGTGCTTCCTAAGTTGCTAAATCTCCTGGCCTCATATGCACTGCAGCGTGTGTACTAACACTTGCGTGTTCATTATGGCTCTGCTGGCTCTGTTTTGAGATAAATGATGTAATATAATTCCTTAGATCTATAGTAAGAAAAATTTGACGTCCCTCCCCCCCCCTCCCCCATTCCCATTTTAATTATTATTTAAAAAAACAACAGATTTCCCATTGCAATGTTCATCTACCTGCTTGTTTTATTCTATGTTTAAAAATCTTAAATGATTCATAAAAAAGTCATTTCAGTTTGGAACACAAGATTCTTGTACAATTCTTAGGTCTTTTTGGGGAATGAAAGGCAAAATGAATACCATTGCAGATCTGTTAAAATAGTATGCACAATGTTGTTTTTATGAGTTAAGTTATTCAGTTCACTTTTCCATCTCATCTATATAACTGTGCCACAATGTTATAAACTAGCAAGCTGGATTTGAAGGAGCATGGCCTCCTGGTGAATGTCAGAGTTTAGATTCCAAGGATCAATAAATCAATGGGAGCAAACTAAGGTTGTGCAAGCTTCATATTGAAGTCTGCATTCACAAAGTGGACCTATTGTTTCCCAGGATTAATTAAAAGGCTTAAACCAGAAGAAAGAATGGGGTTCTTCATTGCGCAGTTGAATTTGACCCACATATTTTTAAAATCTTGCTTTTTAGAAGGTTTTATGCCTTAGAGCAAACTGGTTTGGGTTAATTATTGGCCTTAAATACAATCTTAAAATGGATTTTGATGGCACTTAAAAGTAATCCCCCTCTATGCTTCTGTTCCCCACTATATAACACATTATTTTAGGTTTTACATTTTTTTAACACTGGATATTTAAGACTTAGGAGAATTTACTATCACAACAAAGAGAGTGTTGTGATTGATGAAAACTTCAGCTTGTAGATACCATAGTAACAACATGCAAACTGCATTTCATGTAAAGTGTACATCCAAATCTGTGATTATTTTAAACAGGCTTATAATGGTGATAGATTGCAATTATATATTTTATTTTAGACAGAAATTTTGGAAAAAAGAATATAGAATAGTGCATAGGTTAATATAGATCATTTTTTTATGAATGAAAAAAGTGAAGTTTAGTTGAGCATTATGCAATAGATGTTGAAAATGTGCCAAAAATCCATCTTCATCACTGTGAATGAAATGTTGAACTGATCCAAGTCCAGAATGACTATTGTTTGTGCCAAATACCTGTGAAAGTAATATCAGCCAAATCGTATTTAGAGTCCTGTAAGCAAACTAGCAAACAAAACAGGTTGTGTTTTGTTTAGCCAAACATGAAAAGTCTGACATCCTAGTATTTACTCGCTATATAAAAGTACACTGAAAAGTCATCATGTTCTGATATATTTATGTTACATAATATTGTAGCAATAGGAAGAGTGCTCATCCCTCGGTACTTCCGCAGCATATTTGAAGGTGGTGTGACAGATCTGTACTTTATCCTCAAGCATTCTAAAGAATCATTCCATAACACATCTATAACTCTGGATTGTGATCAGGCTATGATGGTCACACACCATGGAAAGCCTATGTTTACAAAGGTAAGGGCTGTTGAGGTTTATGGTTAAGAGTATCTTGACTGTTTACAGTTGGTGATATTTTTTGCTTTATTCACCAGCATGTTTGGCCCAGTTAGGAGATAATTAGATTACTGGTATTGAATACCATCTTACAGGATGTTGACCTGCAGAATTACTCACCATTGGAGAAAAAATGGGTAAATAAGGGATAAATGTATCATGTTATATTAAAAGTGACACTTCTTGTTATTTTGATCGTCCATATCACTGTTTTTCTCTAACCAGTTATTTTTCATCTTTTAATAGCACTGACTACACTGTTGTTTATTTCTTCAGGTGATAACAGAAGGTCGCTTAATTCTTGAGTTCACATTTGATGACATGATGAGAATCCGCTCATGGCACTTTCAAATAAGGCAGCACAGGGAGCTGATACCTCGCAGTGTGATTGCTATGCAGGTACGCAGAATTAATAGCAGGGAGAATACTGAGAACTAACTTTGTTGTTGATGTATGCTTATGCTAGTGATCTTTGCATTATTTGCATGTGACCATGTAGTGTAATGAAATGACTTATTGCAGTGTTTTGGTGGCAAAGTATACCTAACTATGAATCAGAAATTCTGTGTGATTAATTAGATATACAAAATGAAAGAAAATGTAAATGGAATGTTATCATTTAATTTTATAGCAAGATCCAGCTATGGTAGAGCAGTTGTCAAAGAACATCACTCGGCAGGGACTCACTAACTACACTCTAAACTTCCTCAGGGTAAAAATGTTCAGAGCATATTTTGGTTAAAAGCACTCATTTTCTTTGTAATTAAATTCAGTGGTTGAATTCACAATTGGACACAGTAAAACCATGAGTAGTTTAACTGGATTGACATATTATTCTATGTTCATTGGTGCCCTATAAATTATCTTGGAACCAGAAGACGTCAAATAGCCATTTAACTATTTTTGTCTGTTTCTTTCAACATCACGTGTCAGCATTTAACTTTATTACAGAGGAAACAAAGTAGCCCATACTTAGAGTTTGTTGTGGCTTATTATTCTGATCACTTAGCAAAAATTTCATTTAAAAGGTTTCTTTTTACCTAAATTTGAAGTCAAAAATAAAGACAATTTGCCAAACTTGAAACTTGCCTCTGCAATCTTATGATTGTCATTGTTTTGTTTTATCCACGATATAAGTTCATTTCATATTTTTTGCACCATTAAACCAAATTTGCAAATGTAAATGTTCTTTTTTGTAGCTGTGTGTGATTCTAGAACCAATGCAGGAGCTGATGTCCAGACACAAGGCCTATGGATTAAATCCAAGAGACTGTCTCAAAACGACGCTGTTTCAGAAGTGGCAGCGAATGGTGGCCCCTCCAGGCAACACAAGTAAGTCAGCTTCAATGTCGGTGTGTGACTCTCTGCTTTAGATTCTTGAATAGTTGTATGGTTGTCTTCATCTTTCTTCATCTGCTTTTAGGTTCTACAATATGTGTTGGATTTGTTAAAGATTGTTATTATTTGGATGTTTTATGAATTATGTGAAATGCCACAAGCATTGAAAAGTTTGCCATCAGAAATGTGCAACAAGTAATTGTTAATTTATGCCAGAAAATTAAAGACCTAAATATTGTGATAAAAATATTTGATGTCTTAATTGACAGGATTTGATGTTGTGTTTTAGCTTTGGAAGGGTCTCTTCATGATCTCTTATCTGAATTTGCATACTTAACATTAGTTGTATTACATACTGCACATAGATTTGCATAATTGGACACATCATTTGTTTTAATAAGTGTATGTCAAAATGAACTTGAAAGCACTTTCTCAGATGAAAAGACCGACCTGGGAAACAAAATGATGTGTCCTTTTAGTAGCTGCTGCAGGCTTGAAAATACAATCACCTGTTCCAATAACCCTTACTTTCCTTACTAATAAAATGGTAAAAGGTCTACATTGTGCTACAGTGTATATCATTTACAATGATTTTCAACTAACAACCTGTAAATCTTTGGGATTTTAATATGATTGTGACAAAATACTTAATGCTTTTTGTAGACAATGTAGGTGGTAAAAGATCTGCAAAATTTGGTGGTGAGTATGATTTATTTACTTTTACGCAAGTTGTCAGTTTTTATATACCATTTTAGTGCAGATTGGCAGAAATGGAAAAATTGGGACTATTTTCTTATGCTTGGGTCAGTTCTTTTGATAAAAGGAATGGTGTCAAAAATCGATTCCCTGTTCAATTTGTCCTCATAGTTTCATATATTAGAATTTACCCTTGGCTTTTACAAATAATCTAGAAACTGATTTAGTTGGGGAGTTCATAAAATGATAAGGCAAAACCATCTCAAATAAGATTTTTATGAAGGTAATAGCCCAATCTGTTTAAGTTTATTTTATTAAAATGGTATACATCTCCAAGACTGTCAACTTTCTGAAAATGAACTTGGCTATACAAAGCTAGATGTGCACCATTAGCAAGAGCAACTCTTGCCTAAAGATTCAGAATGGCTGCCATTTGATGTTTTAAATGTTTCAAGTACTGAAGCACTGTTTTGTTTTTGTTCTTAAGTTGTATGCAGTATTCACTGAGTGATCATAAAGAGACCTTCTTAATATTCAACACATTTGCTGAAAATATGCTGCTACTGCAATACAATATTTTTCAGACACCAATCGACAGACACAAAAACGAAGAAAAAGGAAAGGTTCTGCCAGTACCAATTCTTCTGTAAATAGTGGAAACAACCCCCAAAGCACTACGCCTCCAGCCAGCAAGAAGAACCGTTCACCAGCTCCACAAGGATTTAATATGGGAGCGACGGTTAGGAAATATCTAATATCCTAAATGTGTTAATTAAAAATTTAAGATTATCTGTTAGTTGTCTACTGTATTAATGGATTGTCATTGGGTTTTGAAATGAATCTCGTCTCCCTTCCATACCTATGTGCAAGTGCATAAAACTTAACTACTACTGTCCCTTTGTACAAGGATTGGACAACTTTTTCTTACACATACTTGTGATTATCCTTCTTTAATTTTAGGATGTGATGGTTGTGGGTGAACCTACACTGATGGGAGGTGAATTTGGAGATGAGGATGAAAGGCTGATCACCCGTCTTGAAAATCAGCAGTTTGAACCAAATAGTGGTGAAGAAAACACAGAACAGCAGCAGTCACAGCAATCCAGCCAGCAGCAACAGTTTCAGAACTCCCCGGGGATGCAGCACAGCCCCTGGGGTCAGGGTGCCATGAAGAAATCTCCACAGACTCCTGCCAGTAGTGCAGGGGACACAAAGCCAGGATCAAATTAGTTGTTGCTACCAAATGTTGTGTGAAGGAACACTGTCTTGTTTATAGTTTCTTCCCTATTTCCCCTTCCCTGTTATTATTTAGAAATATTTTATGTATAGTTGTACAAAAGAACTCGAGTTTGTTCAAAATTATTTACTGGTATTTTGATTGTGACCCAAAACTGCTGCATGCTCCATCTTATATTCATACAGGACAAACAGATTTTCTTTGAGTATCCTGTTGAATTTAACATGTATTTCCTTTAAATAATATTTGATACATTTGATATAACCACTTTCAGATCAATTCAATGCAATTTAAGGTCACTTTCAGATTAGTTGAATGCAATTATTAGACCATTTTATGTCACCCAATTGCAGCATACCTAATAGATTGTTCTGAAAGAGAAACAGCATCATCAAGCATGGGAAACCTGCTCTAAATATACATCCTTACAACATAAAGATATGTAGGAAAAAAGATTTGTTAATAAATGATATAATGAATGTTGTACTTCTTGTATAATTGTATTTATTTATGTTGGAAAAGCTTGCATGCATTTTTTTTTTTTTTTTTTTTT